TTTGATAATCCAGGTTTGATATTTTGGTGAACACTTATTTATTAATTATTTTTTAAACTGAAGCAAACCGAAGCGCGTCCTTCCCCTGTACTCACATGTGGGTAATAGTCCATGACCAGCAGGTACTCTGTGCGGCCCTCGGGGCCCGTCCGCTCATCAGCGGCGATGAAACGAGCGATGTTATCGTGCTCCAGCAGCGGCAGACGGTAGATGGAGCACTCGTTGATGAAGTTCTGCCGATTGGCTGCTGTGAAAACTTTAACGGCAACTGGCCGCTCGTCCAGGGAGCCGCAGTAGACGGTGCCGTATCTCCCACGTCCAATCAGCTGAGTAGTGGAAAAAAACACAGAAAAACAAACTATAACGACACGCATTTTAGATTTTAAACCCGTTTTAAAATGACTCATATAAAAAGAAAAAGAGCAAACAGAAAGCTTTGAATGCTTCGCTGTGAACATATTCCCAAACAGAAGCACAAAGCTGCTCAACAGATATAAAGAGACCCAAAAAAAGACTCAACATCTCAAGAGAGGTAAAAGCAATCATTGACAGACGACAGTGAAGCATGTTCGCAGGCAGGCAGGGGAGTGGGGAGATGAGAAATAAATTGAATTACAAACCAACAACAGGATTAAACAGTTAAAATGGCTTTGAGTCAGTTCCAAATCATTCAATTAGTTTCCTGAATTAGCCAGAGGACAGCGTGCTATTAGGACCAAAACAGACTGCCTTAAAATGTCATCTGCAAGGGAAGAATTCAGCAGCGTATTTATTTATGTCTAATGTCTTCCTCTGGCGTAGAAAGATACAAGGAGAAACAAGGAACCTGTTTAGTCTGGGAGTAAGCTACCCCCCCCCACTCCCTTTAATGGGAAAAAAAAAGCATGTGTGCGCGATAAGGCAGAAGGACGACATCGTAAAACGAACTCCTGTTCTTTGTTCTGGTCTGAAAATGACGTTTAAAATCCGAACGGCTGCAGATGGTAAATATTCCAGCTCTACACATAAATCTGCATCACCGTATTAATTGCAGCAGTGACTCACTTGCATGGCCTCAGGACATCTTTATAAAACAAGTTTCTAAATACTGACAGTCTCTACAAGGCCGAAGCAGATGTAACCTGCAGCTTCTGAAACGCAACAGAGAAATCTGAGTCATACGTTGAATAACTGAGAATGTTATCTGATAAAAAAGAAGTCAAACATTTAACTTACATCCACTGGAGGATAGATCAAAATGAAAGGCAGACAGTCTATGAGCTTTAAACCTGACAGTGAACCTTATTAATTCAGACACACTGAAAGGAGTCAACACACTAAAGCAGACTCTAACAAGGCAATTCTAAAAACTCTTTCCTAGTTTAAACACCCACATGTTGTTATTGTTTATTAGTTTTGTCAGGGAGCAGAATTCAAGCAGCAAAATAAGCCTAGACCATCACACTGCCACCTCCATGTCTAACTGCGGGCACCAGGGTTCTCTTTCTGAAAAGCAGTTATTTAACAAACAGGGTAAAAGATGCAAAACTTTAAAAATATCATCTTTGGGATCATCAACATCTGAAAAGTTAATATTCTTTCTAGTCAGCAGTGGTTTGGATGCCATTTTTTTCTCCGTCTTTTTCTCATTGCTGAATCAGAAACACCGACCCTAGCTAGGGAACATGTGGCCTTTAGTGATTTAGATAATTTTCTGTAGTTTTTTCGTCACCTCAAGGGTGAGTTGATGTGTTTGTTTCACGTTTTCTCCATGTATAATCTCAATGCAATTCCCAAAGCCTTAGAAATAGTTCCTTAACCCTTTAATATCTACCTCATTTTGGGAAATTCTCACCTATTTTCCATACCCAAATGAAAAAGCAAATAACTTAGGAACTATAAGCCCCAATTACATGTGTGATACATTAATTGAAAACTAACACCTTCTAGTTTCTATATATATACATGAAAATTGGGTGAGCAAAACACCCAAGCTGCATCAAGTCAAAGCTGCATCAGTTCAAACAAGACTCAAAGTTGTTGTTTTTTATTCTCGAAAATAATAAGTCTTTTTTGAACATGCTTTGCTGTGGCTTAATTGTCATGGTACATTTTGACATGCTGCTATATCTGTGTTAATTGTGCTTTGGTGCTTGCTATGTGCATAAAATTAACTAGGTGGTTGAATTGTGGAGAATCTAAGCTTTCCAACGATGTCTAACATGTCTATATTGGTAAACATGTTACCAGTGTAATTTTCATGCATTCTGAGTTATTATTTGTAAACGCTTTAAAACGTTGGGTTTTGAGAGGTTAAATCTTGGTCAATTGATAGATGTAAATGACTTTAAAAAAAAAATCTGTTTCTGAAATTGATTTCAGGAGATGAAGTGTTTTTTTTTTTGTTTTGTTTTTTTTTTACAGCTCTTTTAGCCAACTCTCATGATTTAACATGCAGGGAGATTAGTGTTCAACACAACAGCAGGATGGTCTGAAAAGTTTGTTCCTCTAAACCAGAGGTTTTCAACAGGGGGTTCACGACCCCTAGGGGGTCCACAGAGGTACTGCATGGGGGTCATGAAAGTTTTGGTTGATATTTTTTTTTCTTGTTTGTTTTTTTACATTTCCCCCCTCCAATTTTTTTTTCCACTAATTGAAATGTCTTTAAA